TTTAAAAGGGATTTTTGTTTTTGGAGAAATGCAGACCTCCCTGAACACAGCAGGCACAAGTTTTTGGTTGGGTTGAAAAAGCCAACCCGCTAGATGTCTGATAATTGAACGCATTGATCAGAGCTCCTCCTCGTGCTCCCTGAAGTTTCCAGGCTCTGCGTGCCACCATGGCCAAGCTGCTGAACTAGCCCGGGCTTTCAATTACGGTGAAGAAGCAAACGACGCAAGAGTATATAAGCACAAAGAAGATGGAAGTTGTTCCAGATGGTCTATCAACCGAACTCCTACTTTGACACACTGCCCTTGTCTCTGTGTGAGGTGTCCAATAAATTCAGAGACTTGCTGTTCTGCCTGAAAGCCACAGCTGTAACTTGAAGTATCTGCCCATTTAAAGCACTGCTTAGTTATCAGTAGACTGGTACCGTCACCATGTGTAGAGATAATTTACTGCCTTCAGTCACAAAATCCGCCCAATTTCATCAATTTTCATTCAGCAGTTGGATGATTTATCCACAAAGCTTGAGCACATTTACCCGCTGATTAACTCCTCTATGCGTGAGTTTTACGAGGGCTCAGATAGTTTACGTTGTGCAAAGTGATATTGTGAAGCTCCTTTATAATTCATGATTGCAGTGACCTGCCATCCACGGGAGAGCCAACAGCTCCAACTTCAAACAACTCCGCTTCAGCACAACATCTGGTCTATGAGGAAATGTTGCCTTTGTTAATGAAGTGATTTAAGTTGATGTGGCAGACAAAAGCCCCTGCACATTTTTGAGTCTTGCTCGGATGAAGCACGCCGGTGTGCATCTCTGGAGGCTCGTGCTGCTACTGGAGAAGCTCAGAGGGCAAGAAAAATGACAAAAATAGACAAATCTTTGGGTATTAAAGGTGATAAATGATGCAGTTTGATGTGCTATTGTAGCTCCTAGGGGAATTGTTTCTTCAGAGTGGCCATTCCTTGAAAAGCATCTGTTGCTCAATTGTTAGAAATATTTTTATTTTCTAATTGATTTGAAATGAAGCCCCTAGTTTCTTTCTCTTGCAAAAATACAACGCTCAAACAAATTAAAGCTGCGTTTATCAGTTTGCAAAATATCTTACAATGGATTTTGTGTTGAGGGTTTTTCCAGCTTGACTTCCTCCCAGCATTCCTGTAACAAAAGGCTCAAACATATTGTTCGATTTGGATCTATGATGTCTGTCCTTATTATTAATATTCCAGTCAGTAACTCCTGGAACAATGGCCATTATGGAAGCATCCATCTGTTTAATTGCTGTTTCTGAAAGTGATGACAGTTTTATTGATGAGGCAACTTAATTCCAACAGCTGATAAGGCCGGATCAACGGGTTGGTGTGAGACGGAATGAGTTGGAATGTACTGTTTATTTCATCAATAGCAGAATTTATTTTGACCCCCTTTTAACACATTCCTTTCACAACAGTAATCTCCTCCACCTAAGCCCCTAAAGTCACCATGAGGTTCCCATTTGTTCAGGCGTAATGATCATATTCATCCCCGTCCGTTTACCCTCAAGCTTTGAGATTTACAAGGGATTAGGCTTGAAAAATCAATTTGCTTGCTCTTGGATGCCAGGTAATCCAGTTTTCAGATATGCTAGTGCCACTGCAGTCTAATGAGCTCTGCACGACTCGACGCCCTGGTTTAAATTCAAAGGCATTGATGAGCAAAAACATGTGGCACTATTGTTTAAATAGAGTGTTCACTGCTATCATCAGGTCTGTTGACTAATCGTTAAAAGATGAACCTTCATCCAGTGGTTTCAAATATTTTTATGGCCTGCAGAACACGATGAGTTTCAAACACCTGTCAGACACGGCTACAAAGTGAATATTGTATGACTGTATTGATGTGATAACTGCAACCGTGGAGCATGTGCAAGAAGGTTTTAGGCATATTACATCTGTAATTCCTGGATTCTTCCCAAGTAAAATGCATAATCCTAACTGCTATGCAGAAGAATGGGTAAGGGTGTAAATTGTTCTAATTTCCACACTGCTGCAAGTAGTTTCATTGTAAATGACTGTGACTGTGACAGTTTGACTCCTGGAAGGTAAAGAGTCATTTAATTGGTGGGACATTAATCTCTGCAGCTGGGAGTGGACACTGTAGCTAAGTTGTAACTAGCTGTGCAGACAGAAGAGATCTCCAGTAAGGAATGTCATGCAATCAGCATCAAAGTGACAGTGTGTAGTTTTTCCATTAATCTGAAGGTATCAATCGAAATGTTGTTGAAAATAAACAAAATGATGCCCAGTTGCTGAAAAATATTGGCAGTTTGTAACATATAACCATAAAAATCACATCTAAAATACATGGAAGTGGGTCTCAGTTTCTGGGCGACGCCATATTAGACACCACTAGTTTGCGTGCCCGTGCACATTCACGGATTATACGAAGGGGCGTGGCATTGTAAAAGGTGTGATCGGTTGCCCAAGTCCCTTTTCCTCAGGGCTGTGCTAACAGAGCTGGCGCTGAAACTTGCAAGGAGCACAACAGGTGAGAGTCCATGAATAGTGTAATGTAGGTAGAAACTGGATCTTTTTTCGAGCTCTCCCTGAATGTGTAAGATATCCAGCCCCCATAACTCAATACCTGCTCCTGGATGAAAAGCCAGACATTTTGATCAATGTAGGATGGCGCACGGAACCGAACCAAAACCGCTCAAAATCCCGCTGGAGCACAGCAAATGTTTAAAAAGGTAATCCAAGGAAGTTCTAAATTGCACATGTCCTCTTCTGCCTTTCACTTACTTGTTTTGTACTTGTAACATTGGCGCAAAACTAAAGGCTTGTTCGCTAAAAAGTTAGCTTAACAATTGAGAACGCATCCTTTCAAAAAAGACAGGCTCAAATTAAACTCTGGCGCTATAGCGACAGTTATCCTTGTTTGATTGTGGTAAAAGGACCAGCTGCACCTCCATGCTGTGAACCTGTTCCCGGCTTCACAGATGATCGCGTAAACAATGTTACTCAAGCTAACAGCCTCTGCAGGGCCGGGGCTGTAAGGCAGTGGAGTGGACGGCACATCACATGACACCGCACAGCGGCAATGCTTCTGGCCTCGGAGACAACCTCATTTCTTTGAATTATATAGATGTTTCCTTCTACGGGAGCCCGTGAGGACAAAATGCATTAACTGATTTGAAACAAATGGTTACAAAACGTTCATCGTTCATAAATATTGTTGTTTTACACATTCACCTCTTCACTTATTGTCAGTGATGAAAGAGAGTTTTGTTTGCTTGTCAATTTCTGGAGGTTGCACTCCCAGGGATTTTTGACCCCAACAGCTTTCCACTGGTAAGGTCTTATTCAAACACAAAAATACTGCTTGCTTGCAAAGATGTAGATATACTGCCCCCTATTGCCTGGGAAAATGCACACCGTCACTTAAAGTGACTGTGGTGTGAAGTTTTGTGAAGCCCAACTTTAAAACTTTAAAGCATTCTGTTTTTTAAATAGATTACTAAAAACAATTTTTTCCTAAATAATGTATTTATTTTTTATTTTACATGTATTTTATTTGAAAAAAGAAATTAAATTTGCTATATAAAGCAATATATTTGCATTATTGTGACCTTCAGTTTGGGTCACTGGGTAGTAGCTTATCATGTGAGTATTTTTTGTAAAATGCAGCAAAACGTTATGACAATCTAAAATAAATGTATAGTAACACAATGAAAATTGAAAGATTTTTAAAACATAAAAAAGATTAAAAAATACAAAGAAGTGATAAAACCAAAATAATTTAAATCCAGATTTCTTATTCAAATTGTTTAACTTGTGCTCATTTTTAGTAACTTTATCTATTTGCAGCCTGAGGTTGTTTATTTAAAAAGCTTTGTAAGTTACTGTAATTACTTATTTTTACTTTTATTGTTGCCCAATGCATAATGCCTTGGCACTTCAAGCCCAGGCCGAAAACACCTTATTCATTTAGTTCTGCGTTTGTCAGTCATCATTCCTGCTTGTCAGCAGAGTCTTAAGAAAAGATCAACAGTTAGCACACACACATAATTAGTTCACCCACAGAACATGTAAAAACAGCCTGTGGGTTTATTTAATAAAACAAGCAGTATTTGTCAGTAAACATGAACTGTGCTCATCGATACTTCTGTTTTATGGACACTTGAAGACGTGTGCTGCGTTTTATTGATCAGACAGCAATTGAACTGCGGCTGCCATCAAATTAAAAGTCAAACACTCAGAGAAGCAGCAATTTAATTTGACATGCAGCCATCTTTTCACTAGAAACCAAAATATTGTTGCATAATAAAAAAAAGAAAAAGCTCTGTTTGAAATATTAATGTTTATAATTTTTCCTCTTATAACTGTATGCACCTTATATTTTAAGTGTTTCCCTCCAATGAACAAGACAATTAAATGAGCTTGTTTATTGCCGAAGCTTCTGCTGTCTGTCTCATTATAAATCTTTTCAACTCCTCCCATCCGCCATCATTGTATTTACCACAAAGCAGCGTGCTTGTTAGCTTGCTATTAATTTCATTGCGGTGACACGTTGTTATGAGAAAAGTGTAAGAAGTCTTACGGAGTTGTCCAATTATAGCTACAGGACTGTTCACTACGCCTGAATGTGTTTATGTGATATTTGGAGTTGCTTTCATCCACCATCAATGTTTTTTACACAAACCTCTGTATGCTTGGCACAATAATAGGAATTGTATGACACGTGTGAAAACTGACTTCAGTAATAATATGCACCGGGAGCCTTTTTCCAATTTTCATAAGCAGCTGTGCTTGTTTTTATTTCCTCAGACATTTCTGGATGAAGTGTGATTTATGCAAATGTGACCAATGCCTCTGTGTCTGAATGCCGGTGTCTTAACAGATCAACAGATCCATTAATGTTGACCATCTCAGGTCTTCACGGGGCTTATGAGACAATTGATCTCAGCTCTTCAACGCTCATGACACACGGCTCAGCAAGCAATGATGTGCCTGATTTGTGTTGCAGGTCATTCTCATGCTGACAAAATACAGCGACTTCAGCTCTGGAAGAGTGACAGAGAGCTCTCTGTGGAGGTAAGATCTCCTTTTTTTATATAAGCAACGTTTTTATAAGAAAAATGCAATACAACAAAATGCAGCTATCATGTATCATACAAATTTAAAATTTCAATGTGCGCTATGCATTTATTTCCACAAAGGCATCTCTTAAAGGTCATGAAAATGTATTTTTTCCATTAAAGAAATATTTATTTTGTCAGTTTGATCAGAGACAACCAACGTTCTACTTACTTTGATTTGGAACCTAAATGTAAAATTTTAATTGTAAGTCGTAATAGATTTTTGGAATGTTTATTATATAAAAAACATATATTTTTAACAGTTTGGCTACTTTATTTGATGCTGAGGTAATGTTTACAGTGAAAAGTAAAACAAGTAAAAACAATGAAAAGCACATTAAAATAAAAGAATGCATGACTATCTGGTGCGCAGACAGAATCAACCAGTTTTCAACTTTTTTTCCCACGTCCCCTTGGGGCCTTCATTTTTTCCATCATTACACTCGCATTATTTCTTTTTCAAAAGATCACACTTTTTTGTCACTTTTTAATTTTTAAATGCACTCAGCTTTAGCCAGTTTCTTCAATGATGACAAACTCATTCTTTGGTTTTAAGCTTAAAAATATTCTACCAGTTTTGTGCTTTCATAGAAACTTGTCCTCCAACCCTAAATGTGACTGATAAATCACAAAATCAATCACAGTAAACGTGCCTCAGCGTAACGTGCCTCACAGGACATTGTTGCTTTTTTGATAATTAGAAAACACATGAATTCACCTAGAAAATTGCTTCAGGACTTTAGCTGCTGTAATTTTCTGCTCACCCGACGTGTCTAATGAGACCATCCGCATCTTAACTATTAGGAGTTTCTCTCTCCTCTTTTCTCTCTCCCTGAAACCCATTTCATTTAATCTGTAATTGAATTTTAGGTCAACTGATTATGGGACTACATATGAAAAACTTAATGAGAAAGTCGGAACAAAAAGCATACTGAGCTACTTGTATGTGAGTCCAAACAACAAAAGGAAGGTAAGCCTGTGTGTTTAGTGTAAAATAAATCCTTCCCACTTTGAGTAAATCATTAAAACCACGCAGGAGTCTGCTCTCTGCATTGATCCCAAGCTGTGCATTGAAGAAACACACTTGAACCTTGTTGTAGAGAATGCTGTCACTGGGACGCTGCTGATTTCCTCGTCTCTTCTCTTGTCTCAGATCATGCTACTGACTGACCCAGAGGTAGAGAGCAGCCTGCTCATTAGCCTTGATGAAGGGGCGTCCTATCAGAAACACAACTTAGCATTTGATATCCTCAGCCTGCTTTTTCATCCTGAGCAGGAGGACTGGATCCTGGCTTACAGCCATGACCAAAAGGTAAAGTGTAGGTATCAGACCGTGAGAATGAACCAGAGCAAAAAGTGGAAATCTGAAAGGGAAAACATCTAAAAGAACTCAAATGTGTGTTGCATCTTTTTGTGCTGTTTCAAGATTTTTCATATTTGTGTTACATTTAAGCATCATCACAGCCTATCATCCTCAGCTAAGAGTATAGCTCACTTCTAAGACATGAAGAAATATCAGCCCTAAAACAAATAAATGGATCAGTTTTTAGACTGGGTGATGTGGTTTCACATCATGTCACAATATTTTGAGCGTCAATAACGATAAATGGACGATAACTACCCTAACACGTGAAAGCAAATATTTGTCCACTAGGTGGGACAGTGTCTGCTTAAAAAACCTATTCAATCCTATTAAAGCACCACTACAACATGTTTCCAGCTCTTCCAACTACTGGTTGAAAGAATTCAAACTGTTGTAATTTGTGAACAACTCTTCCAGTCTGCTGTGTAATGCAACAATGAGCTAACGCAAACTCAAACCAACTGATAGTAAAATAAGCCGCACGGTAAATCAAAAAAATATTACTTGCATGTCAGTAGCAACAAAGCCAGGTCACCATCAGTCCAGTGATTTCATAGCCTCCTTTAGCTCCCTCAGACAAGTGTAGGCCACACAGATGTTCACTCTGGCTTTAGCTCTTAGACATTACTCTCTTCCTTTTACTGCCAGGCTCTGCCATGGTGCCAACAAAGTGCAAACTTCGTCTTTGTCTTCTTGCACTTTTTATTGGTGATCAGTGAACTGAAAAACCTAACTGATAACCTTTATATTAGCTAGCAGCAGAGTAAACAGCTATTGCCGTAAAGCAGGTACAGAACTCCCACTAATGGTCCTACCCAAACCACAAAACTGTTAGTCTCTTTCTGGAGTATTTCTCTTACCCGATGGCACCATCTAGTGGCTGAGAAGCATATCACACAAATAATTTCTCCTTTTGTTTTTTTAAGATGGCGACTTCATGTCTCAGGTTTATTGATGTGCTTCTGTAGCCGACAAACAGAGCTAAACATGCTGTTTTACAAGTATTATTCTCACATCAGGTTGTGATATTTATATTTTAAAGATTTTCTTGTCCGTGAAAAGTTCATCAATTCTGCGTCAGCTGAGGTACTTCCTTAAATATGGAGCAGGTAAGCGGTAGTCTAATGCTTTTGGTTAGTTTTGGTCAGCGCTCAGTTTCCTATTACACGGGGCTTTGCGGGGCAGGGGCCGTGCTTAGCAAAAAATAAAAAAGAAGACATATTGCTTACATTATATCACAGTATATGATAAGATAATCACTTTTAGGGATTTCTGAAAAATCATACATCATTTCTGAAAGGGGAAAACTCCAGAAAGATACTTTAAGTGCAGTTTCTTTGTCAGCAGAGGGTTGCAGAGTGCTGTGATGTTGCTCAGGTTTCTGGCTCAATACCAACTGAAACTAGCTTAAAAGCAATTTCTTAAAGTGTTAAACTTTTTAGCATTGTTTTAAGAGACAAGTTCTTGTATTCTTAAATCTTGCATCACTTGAAAATTGTCACATTTGGTTCATTAGGTTGGCTGTGGTTGTGGGGTGAATGTGTTACTTTGACTTGTCGCTACAGTCTTCCTGCACAATTTACATTAGACTTTTTATCAACATCATCTTTGCTAAATCCTAAATATTGCCAAATTGATTGCTGAACAATTTTTTGGGGGTACAAACCTCTCCTTGACCGAATATAAGGCTGCCACTGTGGTGGCATATTGTGACTCCACTCCATCCAGTCTGTAGCACAGCATCTCTAAAGGACATGAACATTGCCAACCTACACGTCTTTTAATTTTTAGGGATGATGGTGGCAGAGTTTTAAGTGTCTGTGACTGGAGGGTTGCAGGTTCAAGCCCTATCTGTCGCAGTCGTTGAGTCTTTTGGCAAGACACTTGCCTTTCCTGCTGGTGGTGGTCAGAGGGACTGGTAGTGCCTGTGCTTAGCAGCCTCACGTCAGTCAGTGCAGCCCAGGGAAGCTGTGGCTACAATGTATCTCGTCACCACCAGCATGTAAATAAGTGTGTGCATGGGTGAATGACTGGTTGTGTTGTAAAGCACCTTGGGGGGTTGTAGAGCCTATATTAAATACCAGCCCTTTACCTTTTACGGTTTTTGAAAAATACCAAATATACGACTTGAGCTAAATTATGTCAGTTATTGTCATACATTTCGGTATCGGTAAAATTTCGGTTTATCGCCCAATTTTAATCATTTGCACCCCTAAACAAGCCAAAAGACGTTCTGCAGACAACTCTGAGTAGATATGCTTTACTTAGCACAAGTTTAAAACAAAGGCCAAAACAGTGGAGCTCTCACACAGAACAACTGTGAACATAAACAGCCACCCTCCATTACTTTGCGAGAACCCTGCTGTCTGCTCTGGTCAATGGCCCAGACATCAAACTCAACCTTCCCCCGTCCTGCTTATTGGCCAGCTGGATTTGCTCAGACAAGGTCTAAGAAGTGAGATAAATGGTGCAGAGAGGAAGATGAAAGCACACTCCAGAGTTGTCAATGGGTCAAAATAAAGATGCTTAAGAGATGTTTGCCTGCAGGCTGTTGTGCATGTCTTGGTTAGGCTGTTTTCTCTTTTTAATGCTTTATTGCTGCTATAAAAAAGAAAGTGATTCCCGGCTTGACTTCATTTTACATTTATTGATTATCTGTCATGTTGCTTAAAATTTGCAAGTTTTAAGATGAGTCAAAATGACACCGCTGATCCTCGTTAAGCTCCGAGCCTAAGACGCCTGTAGCTCCATCACTGAGGGAAGATGATGAGACGTTAACACGAGTAGAAATGGTTGATGGAGGAGATTATAATGTCATTTAGGGGGAAATCCTGCTCACTCACTCCAGGAATGAAACTACTTTATCCAAGACTTACAAAGCAATCTAAACTATTACTGTTCAAACCCTTTTATCATCTGGGATCAAACTATTACAAGAAAATGATTTTGTTACTTGAACCCACCTGAGTGCTAGCTAAAATAAAATAAAATAAAATTAGTTTAATTAATATGATAACCATCAAACTTACACAAAAAGCTGCTTAGTAATACAATTGGTTTAGATGTGTGTTTTTTTTTTTTTTTTTCATTTTTGTAAAGGCAGCTACCAGGACAGCACAAACTAATTCCCCGTAGTGGACCATGAATGAAATTCCACTGTATCACATTATAATTCATCAAATCATGTGGTTTCAATACACTTTAATGTATAGAGTTCCGGGAGTTGACGTCACTTCTCCCGGCATGCAACAGTTCTAATCGAACGGCGCCATCTTGGCAGGCAGAAGCCTGCAGCTGGACTATTTGTTATTGTCAGAAAACTCAATCAAATGGGAAATATGGTAGATTCCTGTTGTGCCCCAGGATGCCAGAACAGACTCGGACGAGATAAGGGAAGAGCCTTCTACAGGATTCCCCAAGATCCGGAATGCCGCAAACGTTGGATTATCGCAATGAAATGCGCTAGCCTCTAAGCTAAAATGAAACTGGGTTCCCGAGAGTAAAGGTTTTTGCTTATGCAGCGACCACTTCGTATCAGGTACTTAAACCAACGTTTCCTCAACTGTGTATGGTATTTATTTTAAATGCTTTTATTACGATTCTTAGTGGGCTTCCTAAACTTATTTTGGCGTGGCTTTTTCTGTCTTATTACTCATAGCAACAAGTAAACATCACGTAAAACGTTGCCTCGTGATTTCTGCGTGCTGCCGTTTACGTGTTTTATGATCAAAGCAACTAACCAGCTAAGCTGTTTTTCATTTTTAAGCAATGGTTGATCAATTGTCAGATCACAGAGACAAAACCTTGCAACGGGCTATTGCTAATGGTAACAAAAATCTCCACTTAGCCTCCCGGTGACAACAGCGCTGTCCTTGGCAGGAAGAATTCAGATCTGGATACCGACAACAAACCCTGATTGAGTCCATTTGTATCCCTCCAGGCTTTTATATGCTCTTAGCGATGCTCCGGAGTAGGACGAGGGAAAATTAACAAGGAAATTATAAATATCAGGGTATCTCAAATCCGGTAAGAGGTCTGCTCCGACAGCTTCTGACATTTTAAAAAGTATCCCAGGGGCATGGTAAGGGTCGGAGATGCCGATCCTGTTCATTTTGTTAACCTTTTTTGCCTGCCAACATGGCGTCTACTCTCTGAGAGTCACGTGACGTCTGGAGCTCTATAGGGAGCCTAAGTGTGTGTCTGAATCCATGGGAAGGATGCTTGTTAGGGCGCATTTTGAGGTCGATGACGTCACAGAGCAGCGACGAGTACTGTCCGAATTTCAAGAATACTCATTCTCGTATCCTCAAATGTGTCCTCGCTCCACCCACATTCCAAGGATGGGTCTGTTGTATCCTCACAGAACAAGGCTATTCCAGCATGTTTTGCGCACCGACTGTGGATTTATAACAGGAAGAGAAAATGGGCCCATTGACATTTAGACCACGGGTTCCCGGAAGAACGAAAACAATGAATGAAAGTCAATGGGGCTATAAAAGCTATTTTCTAATTGATTATATGTGCCATGGATTTCACACATGGTGTTCGTGAATTTAAAAGACACATTCTGATGCCAAGACACCGCTTATTTTCTACTGGTGACAAAAGTTGTTTTTAGGTTTTGTGTGAAAATATGTCCAGGACTACAAATGCTCATCACCGATTTAACGTCCTCAAACCAGACATGGAGAAAATCAGAGGTAAAATGGCTGTAAGTGCAGCAAACGTTGAATCATTCGCCCAGGAGGAAAGAACCACCAGAAAACTTGCTATGTGGTAAGGAGCAGCTACGGTAGGGGAGAGGAGGTTCTGCGACGTACCAACTTCTGATTTGTAGTCATAGAATTTACAAACATTTACAAGCTGATACATTTCAATGTATGTTACTGGTGTGTTGGAAACATACAGTACATGACTACTTCACATTAAATTTAAGAACAACTTATGTGTGATTCAGGATGCAATGCAAAGCAGAAACATCCTCATTTTTTTGTTTTTTTAGAGACCCATGACCACACACTGTGTTTGATGCTACTATTGTTTGACAAAGTCGTTTTCTTTTTAACAGCTTTATGTATCAGTTGAGTTTGGGAGGAAATGGCAGCTTGTGCAGGACAACGTCATCCCCAACAGATTCTACTGGTGAGCTCATGGTCTCAGTTTTAACCTAAAATATGTTGTTTTCATCTGAAAAAATTGATTGAATACAAGCTGAACTCGAAAAATTAGTGCATGGTGCAAAAGTCCATTTATTTCAGTAATCCATAGACTGAGAGACTAGAATATTGAACCTTTTCACAGTATTTTACGGTTTTAAGCTGTAATGTAATAATCATCACAGTTAAAACAAATCAAAGCTGAGTTATCTGGCTTTACATGTTTAGAGTCTCTCATATATTATTAGTTTCATCTTGTAAGTTGAATTACAGAAATAAATCAACTTTTGCACCATATTAAACTTTTTCCAGTTCCACCTGTAAAATACTTGACTCTCAAAGTTTATTAATAATATTTTAGTTTGCAATTTATCCTTAGACTATTTGAATAACCTGGAACAGATCCATAAAAAATAAATGTAATATTATTGGCAAAATGTTTGAGTCCAAATCCTGGCAGATTTGAACTTGGCAATAAAAATAAATTACATTGGTGGAAGAGTTGGTCAGATATCAACATATTTATTTATTTCTAAAGAAAAGGAGAAACCATCTGTCCTAAATTCAACAATTAAAACAATCCCACTCTAAAACTCAGTACAGTACACTGAGTTAGTTAAGTATAGCATAATTAAAAATTATAAATAAAAAAAATATATAATTAAACGTCCTTTAATTCAAGACATTAACAGAACTTGTTTCACCTTTCTTTGCATTATGTAAAAGTGATTAACATTAGATGTTTGTACCAAACTTCAATGAATTTTTATTACAATTAGCCGTTTGCTGTAACTTTCACAATTTTATTGCAGAAAAAAAAATATATATATCTATATATATATATATATATATATATATATATATATATA